GGTTGGTTGGATGGTTGGTTGGTTGGTTGGTTGGTTGGTTGGTTGTTTGGTTGGTTAATTATTGTGCAGCTTGATCGATCGAGAGGCTGGCGAGTGATGTTTTAAGCTTTCTCGAGATTTTTGCAAAGAGATTTTCATCATCATTTTCATCATTACTATAACCGTCGTTATCATTCCAACTATAATCATCGTCATTTTTACTGACGTCATCATCATCATCATCATCATCATCATCATGACTGCTTCAGGCTGGCGGGAGTGATGAACAGATGGGAAAAAGTGAAACAGCAGACGACCCTGAGACTTCAGAAGTTGAACGACTCCAAAGATTACCAGCAGTTCCTATTGGCCGTTCATGATGTTGGTGGTGGTGGTGGTGGTGGTGGTGGTGGTGGTGATGACGATGATGATTCTGATGACGATGATGATTCTGATGACGGTGATGATTCTGATGACGATGATGATTCTGATGACGGTGATGATTCTGATGACGATGATGATTCTGATGACGGTGATGATTCTGATGACGGTGATGATTCTGATGATGGTGATGATTCTGATGACGATGATGTTGGTGCGACGATGTGATGATGGTAGTGGCGATGTTGATGAGGAAAATGACGTCACCATCCAGGTAACTTCCTGGATAAATGAGAAGATGCAAACGGCCCTGGACGAATCTTACAACGATCCCAGTAACTTGCAGGGGAAGATCCAGAAGAACCAGGCGTTCCAGGCGGAAGTACTCACAAACAGAAGCAGGGTTGATGTGGTCATGAAGGTTGGCTGGTTGGCTGGTTGGTTATTGGTTGATTGGTTGGTCGGTTGGTTTGCAGGTTATATTGTTGGTCAGTTATTTACATATATATATATATATATATATATATATATATATATATATATGTATGTATGTATATATAAATGATATATTTTATTCATGAAATAATTATTTACGTCATCATCATTTTCCTCCATCACCATCTCCAAAAACCCGCCCACCCACGCAGGAAGGAGATAAATTTGTAAGCAAGCAGCATTACGCCAGTGACGTCATAAGGGAGAAGATGATGGAGTTGGAGGGGCTGTGGAAGGATCTGCTGGATGCCACGGAGGAGAAAAAGAGGAGGCTGCTAGAGGCCTATGAGGTTTGTAGTTGAATGGATGGATG